GTCATGGCATGGATAGTATAGCTTAAGTGGTAGTGTGCATTCTTAGAATACACAAAGTGTTGGGTTCAATCTCCAGTACCCACTCTAAAACTAAATAAATAAGTAAACCTATTTACCATCCTCCCCCCAAAAAATTTAAAATTAAAAAGAAAGAAAAAGGTCACAGGAATGTAATGTACAGCATAGGGAATACAGTCAATAATACTGTAGTAACTTTGTATGGTGACAGATGGTAACTAGACTTATTGTATAATTAGAATGTATAAAAACAGAATCAGTATATTGTACACCTGAAATTTAAATAATATTGTAACTCAATTATACTTCAATAAAGTGAAGAAAATCTCACCAGAAGTAAAGGAAAATAAAATATAAATAAATTAAAACATAACAAATACTTTATAAAAAATCGGAGGACTCACTACCTGATTTCAATCAGTAAGCAATACAGCGAGGTATTGGGGATAGTAAGTCATCGGGACAGTTTAGAGAATCCAGAAATACACCCACATATTTATGGTCAATTGATTTTTGATAAAGATGCAAAATCTATTTAAGGATAAAAAAGATAATCTCTCAAAACAAGTTGCTGGATTAATTGGACATCCATATGTAAAAAATAAATAAAGGATCCTTGACCCTTGACTCTTACCTCACAGAATAAACAAAAGTGTAAGATCTAAAACTTTAAGGAAAATAATATTTGTGTGCTTTCTTAAGAAATGTGTTGATTGTTTCATTATTGAGTCAAGAATGCATTTCTGTGCTTTTTTTTTCTCCAGCAGCAAAGACAAGCTCTTTCAGATTCTATATTGTTTGTGTGGTAGGGAGGATATATTTGTAAGTGAATTCCAATTATTTCCACTTGGATCCTTTATCCTCACTAATACCTGTGAACACCTTTTCGACAATATCTATTTTTAGACACAAAGTAAACGATGTTTTGTTCACACATTTTTCATTTTTGTTTGGATGTTTTTTATTTGCTTTCATTGCTATTATTATCATTTGATTTCATCATGTATAAATTGAGTTTCTAATGCATAGTTTCTAATATCTATAGTAATAATGTTAGATTCATAGTTCACTGGTTTGTAAAACCTTTAAGCTAAAGTGTGATTTATTCTTGTTTTTAAAAGCTAAGTAAATAGAAATAAATGCTCACTAATAAAAAAGCAAGTTACCCAATTAAAAAAGGGCAAAATATTTGAAAAGATACTTCATCATAAAAGAGACAGTGGTTGCAAATAAGCACAGGAAAAGATGTTCAATATCATTAAGCACTAGAGAAATGCTAATTAAAATCACAAGGAACTACAGACACTGCTATTGAGAATGTAAAATTGTTACAACTACTTTGGAAAACAGTTTGACAGCTTCTTACAGTTAAGCATAGAATTACCATATAAACCAGTCATTCCACTCTTAGGTATTTAACTAAGATAAATGAAAACATATGTCCATACAAAAATTTATATAAAAATATTCATAGCAACTTTATTTGTAAAACTGGAAATACCCCAAAGATTCATCAACAGGTAAATGAATAAACAAATTCTAGTATATCCATACAGTGATATAGTACTCAGCAATGGTCTGGAAGGCAGAAGAAAAATGTATGAGGGGTCAGAAGATCTGTATTACAGTTCTAGTTCTACCAATGTGAAGTTTTATGAGATAGAATAAATCATATAACATTCTAGGGCCTCAGTTTCCTCATTTGGTTAATAGGGGAAATAATATTTACCTTTTTATTTAATGCATGGTTACAAAACTCAAATGAGGTAAATATATGGGATTGTTTGGTAAACTATAATTTGTATGACTTTTAATTCACCTTTTAACTTTTTTGTGATTGAATATATTTTTTCTGAAATTTTAATTTTTTTCTTCTAATGTTTTATATTAAAGGAGGCTACAGACTGAGAGCTCCTTTATGTGCTAAGCAATAATTGATAATTTGACATTCTTGGAAAGTTGAATTTATTTGATAATAGGTGGCAAATATATCATCATAACTGTTTACTTTTTAACATATCAACAGTATTTATGCTCAGTCTTCGGATTCTATTGCTTGACTTCTGTGCTTCAATAAGAAATTTGGGGCACCATCTGTTACTCTTGCATGGCCAAAGTTTTCCATTTGGAGCATATGTATTTATTATGAAAAAACATAATTACAACTTACATATGCAAGTTGGGCTCCAAAATTGTGCAAATTTCTTCTCTTTAGTGAGCTTCTTAAAAGCAATATATATGTAAAAACATAAAACAAACTGTACGAATCTAATTCTAACAGAGAAAATAGACAAAGTAAGTCAATCACTGGACTACTACATAGTATCAATTTGGATATATTTGGCTCTTAATAGTTTAACCTAAATTAATAGTTTACTCTATATGACTGTCTATTATAGTGATATATTCTATATTCCTTGGTATATGCATTATATATATATATATATATAATATTATAGAGCTAGAACTAGAGCATGGGCTTTTTTCATATCAGGGGACAATGGTTTCTGATTTATCAACTGTACAAAGGGGAATTGTTTCTATTTCCAAATGGTAGAAGTAGGACACGAGTTTACTGATTTGGCTGCTTCTTCAAATAGAGACTTGTTTCTTTCCTGTAGTGGTCATCTGTCCTAATAGGTAACCCTTTAACTTGCTCATGAAATTTAGAAAATTTCATGTGATCTTGTGTACATATTTGTTCTTTGCTATCGTTAAGTTGTATTTATTTTAATTTGCTTGTCCACATCTCCCTCCCTGTCTCTCTCTCTCTCTACCTCTCTCTCTACCTCTCTCTCTCTCTCTCACTCTGTTTCTTTCTGTCCAGGCAGGCCATTATGGAGACTAGATTTTTTTTAAAAAGCTAGTGAAAACTGACACAATTTCTTAACCCTCTTCACCACCTTCTGTACTCTAGCAAGACTTCACTCTGAGGGTGATATATAATTAATAGTCACCAATTGTGCTTCTTCCTACCCTTATATAAGAAATTAGGCTAAATAGCTAAGTTGCAATATACTGCTGCTTCTTTTAAGGACCATGAGTTTCATAGATGGCACTTAGAAATGTGCCACCTGTCTCCTTCCTCCTGGGCATGCAGGAAGGTAGGTGAGTAACAGCTCCTCCATGACACACATTATCATTTGCATGACCCGTGTGAATAATTTTGTCTGCTGCCTCAAAACATTGCTTCCTATCCTGTTTGCCTATAAGATGACAGTCAACTCAAGGAAACAGCTGCTGTTCAATTATGAAGACACACAGAAAAACTTGGAAGGTCGGGAAAATGCTTCCTTCCTTAAGGATATTATAAGCTATTTAGCTGATATTTGTGAAGCATCTACTATATGTGAGGCTCAGCACAGGGGACTTAGGGATTAATAAGACACCCAGTCCACAGGAAGCTTAGTTTAGCAGAATAAAAGCTACTGAAAGCATTCTTCTTTGTTTCCTTCTGAACTCCAGGAGCAGATTGTGAGACTTTTCTTGGCTGCCCACAAATGTAGTGTTATTGAATCTCTAACTCACTAAGACTGTAAAATCAGAAGGGGGCCTTTCAGAAGCAGATGTGGATAAAAAACTTTGACCTTTCATCAACCTTGTTATGGCATACAAGAAGCTACAACTAACAACATATTTGCTAGTATGACCAACTCAGATGCCACTGCCTTATGGGAATATATTTGCCCACAAATTGATGATATCTGGTTGAGCAGATCCTAATGATGTATACATGGAGTATCAACTCCAGAACAGCATCTTACTATTGAACATACTTCATATCTTATAGAAGATCATAAGTTTATTTGCATAAATCTACATGCCACTTTGTTGAAATTCATGTATGTCTAAATTAATGTGGAATATATTTTCTAATGATTTCAGGTTAAATATTATTGCCAATTTGTCCAAGATATTTCTATGACATTATTAATTTCAAATATTTTTCCTACTATACTTTCAAACCATGAGAGTGTCACAGAAGTCCCAATTTTTTCAGCATTAAAGTTATATCTCCAGTTAAAATTGTATCTGGCACCAATAAGCAATACATAAGCCACATTTATCAGATCTTATGGCCTGATTTGGAGTTTGGAAAATATATTCACCACATTACTACTAGTAATATTCAGGAAATACAAAACTAGGGAGTGAGGATAATGATAAGAACCTCCACAAACCTTTGTTAGACCATATTTACCCCCTGGACCATGGTTTATTGCTCTAACTTCTAGTTTGGAAACATGTTTTGAACCTCTTAAAATCAGATGATGGTAATTTGTTATTAGTGTAATGATTTAGCATTTTAAAATTTTCAAAAAGATTATTCATTCATTTCCTTTGGAGTGAGGTAGAAGGGAATGGGTAAAATGTTTAAACTTAGTCTTATCCAAATGTTTTTCTTATTTCTGTTAACCTTGTAAACTGCATGTGTGACTTTTTAGTTAATTGGACCATGAGTGAACTGAAGAACAGAAGTCTCCTCAAGGAGGAAATTTGACACACTTCAAAGCATTAGGAAATTAATATTTATTCTAAATTGTGGTCCTTTAAGATTTATTATTTTATTTTATTTTATTTTACAGAGAAGATTAACAAGAGGAAATAGTCATGCCTAATCTGCAAATTGTACATAGGATCTATCTCAAGACATTCTGTTACTTAATGAAAAGTCTAGATAAAGTAGTTTTTTTAAAATTCACTGTTCATCTTTGTTTTTCTTTTTTAAAAATATGAGTGTGCATACATGTGCATATAATTCAGCTACTTTTCTTTTAGACTGAGTCTTATCCACAGTCATGAGATAAGTTCTCTTAGGCCTGTGGAAGATTCTGAATGTCAGTACATATGAAAGTACAAGAATGTTCTACCTCAGATTAGTACAATTATTGAAAAAAAATCTATCAACATTTGAGATCCAAATCTCTTGCTGCCCTGACTGTAGTACTGAATTTAAATGGGTAAAATGTGTTTCAGAGGATGAATTATTGAGTTCTTGCCATAGATTTGCCTTCTCCTCATGTGACTTAATTAAACTCTTCCTTTTCCAAGGCTTTGGACTCTTTGACATTTCTGCCTCACTAACAGAGGATAAAATCGATGATGTGATGGACAAGCCACACAAGAAATACAGATGTGGACTACAGGCTTCCAAAGAATTGAACTTGCTGAGGCTCTGTGCCAGACATTGGAAATATCTGAGATGTTAAGAGGTGAGTATTGTGGTGGCTATTGTTGTTGAGAGGGGTGTGTGTGTGTTGGAAAGAATAGCCTATAGTGAGATTATCAAGAGCTGTGTATTATGGAAAGCTGAGGCTACTTTTGTAAGACTGTTAAGATTTCTTTCAGAAATGTTGAGTTCTCAAAACAGTAGTGAAAATCTGAAGAACATGGCTAATAAGATTAACTTCTTAGGTTAAAAAAAATGTAGGCTTCTGTAACAGGAAATCAGTGTTGGAAAGGGTAAGAGTACAAGAACTATCATTTATTGAGCTTTACTAATCAAGTATCAAGAACTTTATATGTGTTATTCCATTTAATCCTCATAACAATTCTGTGATATACATACTATTACCATCTCCATTTTACACATAGAAAACAGTCTTGTGTTGCCCAAAGTCATTTTGCTATTCAGTTCAGGGCTGTGTTTTAGATCCAGGTCTCTCTGACTTCTAACACTGTACTTAGAGAAGACTAAGAGAAAACTATGACTATATCATTTCATGATTTGCTCATGAATAATTGTACCTGTACTTTATTTTAGTTTTCCAAGGAAAGTTTTTCACATAGTATATTAAGAAAATGTTTCAGCAACCCTAATGTATGCCACTGAAGAAAAACCAGCACTAAAGAAAGGAGCAACCATTCTCAGTAATGAAACAGCTGTGGTTGTGATTTTTTCCCTTCATTTTCTTCTGCATTTTTCCATATACTATGTAAATAGAAACCAAATTTTTCAGATCAGGTATATCCTTTATATGTAGAAATAAAGCCTTCTACTTGGAGGATCTGTTTAATTTACTTAGCTAAGGCAGCAAAGCAGTTTGTTCTGACTGATTCTAGACTCATGTCACATAATTTTGGACACTTGATCAGTCTGATGAATTTAAGACTCTTATTTTTGTAATATAGAAATGTTTAGGTAGTTTCAAAGAAAGGTGAAAATATAAGTCTATTTTTAAGTTACAGCCTTCAGAACTTCTTCTACATGGCATTTATTAACTTTTAATTGTATCTTTAATAGTATTTTTTTCAGAATTCATTAAGTATGACAAAATTACAGGCAATTATGGTATAGAGGCAAAATCCTTTGATTTGAAGCCAGGTAATCTGAATTGAAATATCAGCTCTGCTTCTTATTTGCTATGTAAATTTGAATAATTAATTTAATCTCTCTGAGCCTGTTTCCTCATCTGTAATATGGGGATAATAATTTCTACCTCATACACTTGTTGTGAGAATAACTTGAGATAATAAATGTGAACATACTTTGTAGACAATAAAATTCCAACACAATGTCAGGGGAAAGGGAATCAAATGAGTACTAAGGGAACATTTACCTCTGTGCTAGTTGGTAACTTTTTTTCCCTTTGTTGCTCCCAGCAAGACCAAAGCTGGCATATCCCTGAGAGAGAGTAGCATGCCCCACAGTTGGATCACATTTCCTTCTTTCCTATCTATTGCCCCAGGATCCATGAAGTAGTTGACAATATACTGGCAGGAAGGCAAAAGATGTTTGAAACAACTGCCTTCTAGGTTATTTTATTCAGGTAAAGTGATCTCTCCTCAAGGACAATCCTCCTTTGCAATGCATGTCAATATCTTGATTCAGTACAATAAAGGGAAATTTGGGGTTGGACAGTAGTTTCACAACAAAACCTGAGAGGACCATTGCAATGAGGCATTGTAGTAGAGTAGGAAAGGCACTGGGCTGGAAGAAAAGGGACCAGAATTCCAGGTTTCACTACTGAGTAATTGCATAACCGATGGAAGTCCCTTTTCCCGCTTGAGTTCAAAATTCCCCTCTACACAGTGATGTGGGATGGACCAGATTAACTCCAAGGTCTATTTCAGCATTGATATTCTGTGATCCTATTCTTAACTATAACAAATATGTTCAAGTTGCATAGATTGTAGGATACCATTTTACACCTGAAAAGGGAAAGAAAGATTATACAAATCATTTCTGAATTGTGTTATAGTAAATATTCACTTACATTAGAAGAGTTGGGGTGTAGTTAATGTAATCCTTTACATTTGTAAGTATTTTAAGATCCAGCATCTCATTGAGTCTTAAAATAACTGCATTTCATCACTTACCCTCACATAATAAATTAAGAAACTGAGACTCAAGGTTTACACAAAGTCACACAGCTATTTATGATAGAGCCAGAAATCCATTTCTGTTCTGTCTGTCTCTAAGCCTCTGTTTTTTCTAGTACACCAAACTGCCTAGGTGATTTTATCCTGGCTTAGAATAAGTGAAAATCACCTAGAAAATGAATTTAAAGAAAAAGTTACTGTCTTTTAAATACAATAAAAGTAAAGAATGAGAATACTTTTAAAATAGTTTTTAAAATTTTTGACATCTGAGACTGAAGCTGCTAAGAACTTTAAGCAATTGTATATATAATATACTGGATCTTTCAGAGCTCTATGGATTTTGAAAGATTAAAGAAATAATCTTTGTAATATACTTTATGATCATTTGAAGAAAATGGCTGCTTAAATATAACATTTAGAGCTCTTACATTCAGGTATGCAACAGAAGGAAAAGAATACAGGATAGTATATAAGAAGATATCCACTGAGGTCTCAGGAAAAGAGAGAGAGAAGAGGGTCAAAAACATATTTGATGAAATTATGGCTGAAAACTTTCCAAACCTGAAAAAGGAAATAGATATCCAAGTACAGGAGCACAGAGGGTTCCAAATAAGATGAATCCAAAGAAACCCACATCAAGACATACAATAATTAAAATAGCAAAAGTTAAAGAAAAATTCTAAAGGCAGCAAGAGGAAAACAAAAAGTCATATAAAAGGGAACCCCCCTTAAAAAATCAGCTAATTTTTCTGTAGAAACTTTTCAGGTCAGAAGGGAGTTGCATGAGATATTCAAAGTCATAAAAGTAAAAAACCTGAAAACTTGGATACTGTACCCAGCAAGATTATAATTTATGATTGAAGGAGACATAAAAAATTCTCATACAAGAGAACCTTAAAGAGTTCAATACTAAACCTACCCTAAAATGAATGTTAAGGGTCTTCTCTAAATGGAAAATAAAGGATATAGCAAGAAGTAAAAGTCTATAGAAAAAGAAAAATCCCACTACCAAAGGCAAGTATATAGTAAAGACTGAGGTTCATCGACTTAAATAAGCTAGGATAAAGATTAAAAACAAAATCTTTGTAAAGTTAACTATAACTACAATGATCAGTTAAGGGATAAACATGAAGATGTAAAATATGACATCAAAAATACAAAATGTGGGGAAGGGAGAAAACAATGTAGATCTTTTGGAATGTGTTTGAACGTATAGAACTCCCTATTTAAAACAGATACAGTTATACGTCAACATATATGAACTCCATGGTAACCACAAATCAAAAACCTACAATAGATACACTAGAAAAACTAGAAAGTAACACAAGCATACCACTAAAGAAAATCATCAAACCACAAGGGATGAAACTAAAACAAGAAGAATTACAAGAATAACCAGAAAACAAGTAACAAAATGGTGATAAGTACCTATCTATCAACAATTACTTTGAATATCAATGGACTAAATTCCAATAAAAAGACAAAGGGTTACTATATATAAAATAGATAAACAACAAAAACTTGCTTAATAGCACAGGAAACTATATTCAATTACTTGTAATGGGTTGTAATGGAAAAGAATCTGAAATAAAAATATATATATGCATTTTAAATATCATACATGTATGTATGTATAACTGAATCACTTTGTTGTACACATGAAACTAACATTGTAAATTGACTACTCTTCAAGAAAAAATAATTAAAAGAGGATATAGGGTGACTGAATGGATTAAAATTAAAAAAGACCCATCTATATACTGCTTATAAGGGACTAATATCCAAAGCAAATTTGGAAAAAAGAAGACTGGGATATCATGCTCTCTGAATTCAGGCTACACTACAAAACTATGATAATGAAAAAAAGTGTGATAATGGCACAAAAACAAACGAATAAATCAATGGGTCAGAAGAGATAGCCAGAAATAAACACACACACACTATGGTCAATTAATCTAAGAAAAAAGGAGGCAAGAAAATACAACGGAGAAAAGACAGTCTCTTCAATAAGTGGTCCTGACAAAACAGGACAGTTATGTATACAAGAAGGAGACTAGAACACTGCCTCACATCATATACAAAAATAAACTCAAAATGAATTAAGAAAAAAAAACTAAATGTAAGACCCGAAACTATAAAACTCTTAAGACTTAGGCAGAATACTCTTTGACAGAAACTGTAACAAAGAAATATTGCCTCTGTGTCCTAAGGCAAAAGAAATACAATAAAATAAACAAATGGGACCTAATTAAACTGAAAAGGTTTGCACAGCAAAGGAAACCCTCGACAAAATGAAAAGACAATCTACTGAATGGAAGAAAATATTTGCAAATGACATGACAGATAAGGGGATAATGTAAAAATATGTAAACAACTTTTACAACTCAATATCAAAAAAACAAACAACTCGAATAAAACTGCAGAGGACTTGAATAGACATTTTCCAAAGAAGATACACAGATGGCCAACAGGAACATGAAAAAATGCTCAACATCGCTAATCATCAGAAAAATGCAAATCAAAACCATAAAGAGATATACCTCACACCTGTCAGAAAAAGTCTACAAAAAATGTTGGTGAGGATGTGGTGAATAGGGAACTCTAGTACAAAGTTAGTGGGATTGTCAATTGGTGCAGGCACTGTGACAAACTGTATGGATGTACATTCCAAAAACTAAAAATAGGATTACCATATGATCTAGTAATTCCACTGCTAGGTATATATACAAAGAAACTGAAAGTATTAATTTGAAAAGATACATGCACCCCAATGTTTATAGCAGCATTATTTACAATAGCCAGTTTATGGAAGCAACCTAAGTGCTTTCAACAGATGAGTGGATAAAGAAGATGTGTCATAAGTATATATATATATATATATATAATGCAA